TGGGAATACACAGTGGCAGTGTGATCCCATCTCATTCCCTTCTGCTGTGGAATATATTGCTAATATTGGTGGTAATTACAGATATTCAGACACCCTTAAGCCAAACTAGTTTTAAACAGTAGAGAATTTACATTTTCAGGTTGCTTGGAGAGATGTACGAACAGTAACCCATCATGATGTGGTGCAAACCACATCCTCCTATTCAATTGCCCAGAAACGTGTCGGTAGGATCTCTTGCCAGATAGCGCTCTTTAAAATTTTCAACCTTTGTTTGGTGCGAAAATATCACAGGGACTCTTTCTACCTGCAGTAGTTCACCATACAATAAGCAAGTGTGGAGTAAACTCCTTCCCTTATTCCCCTGCCTCAATTTATTTCTTTCTGTCACTACAGAACATCCAGACAAATGTTCTGGCATGGGAGGTCTCCTTGCTCAAATGCATCTCCTGGAGTTTCATTACTGTAGCAGGGAAGTTCAAACATTGTCACCAACATCTCAGGAGATCACAGATGAGTGAGTGATCGTCTCTGCATCACACAAGGTACATGTCAAAGACCCCAAGGTAAAATGAAGCAAGTCGATCTCAAACAAATAAGGATAGAAGCTTCCCCAGGCCCTGGTAAGGAAAAGGAAGATTGATGGCGAGCCAGTCTGCTGAGCGTGGCATGGAGCACAACCAGAATGAGTGAAATCCACAACCCAGCACCCAGGGAGAGCACCCTCCCAGGAGGTGTCTCAGTGTTCAGCTGAGCTGGTGTCCCAGCAGCAGCTGCAGAAGGACAGTGTGGGACATGCTGGCTCTCAGGTCCTCAGAGCTGGGGTCACTGCAGTCAGGGAAAGGCCAGCCCAAACACACAGCCAAGGAAGATGACAGGCCTGTGTCCCTTTAGTCCTTCCACTGAAATACAAACACTGCTTGCTAGACAGCCTGCTGTCATTAAGGTATGGTCACTCCTGAGCCTTTTGAGGGCCTTTTTCATACAAGGAAGTCCCCTGCTGACCAATTAGTCCAGCTTGCCCTTTGCTTGGCATCAGCTGTGGAAACAATGCAGACCATGAATGTGCTCCAGATGACTCTGGCCTTTGTTGCCAGGAATGGAATGAGGGATATCACTGCCCTCAGCAATGCATTTTCTGATCTGTCTATACATATAAAGTATGGCTTAGTAACCCAAAATATAAATACTAAATAATCCTTTATTAATGCAGCAAAAGACTGACATATGCTACCATTTCCTCCCTGGCCTTTAGAGCTTTAGAGGTGTATTTCTATTTCCTTCTTTCACACATCCCCCACACTGTGGTCATTTCCTTGCTCTAACCCCATCACCATGATCTCCTCCTGCTTCAGTACAACCCACTTCTTCACAGGTAGCCCACTGCTCAGAGAAGCTTCACAGACCACAGGGCAGCCAGATTCTGATACGTAACCTCTACGTGCAGAATTGGATCTCCTCCTGCTTCAGTACAACCCACTTCTTCACAGGTAGCCCACTGCTCAGACAGGCTTCACAGACCACAGGGCAGCCAGAAACGTAACCTCTACGTGCAGAATTACTGCCCACAAATTCATGGGTTTTTCCATTTGCACATTTCCAAGTGTGTCAAAAGAGCAAAGTCAAGCACCCAGACTTTTCTTCAAGTACAGAAATACAGATATTACCTTGTCCCAAAAAGGCTAATGAGTGCTCCCCAAGCAAATGGGGATTAAAAAAAGAAAAAGGCACCAAACCAGACATTCATATGAATGACAGCACTGTCAGCCAGCAGTTTGTCCTGCCAGGTGGCTGTTTTGTCTTGATGTAGGGAAGCTCCTTCCTTCCAGGCTGCTTCTGCCTGAAGTTCATCAAATCCAGATATAACAGCCAGCACCATTTGTGGACAATCTTGATAGTTATGGGAAATGATTGTGATGTGCCGTTTCCTTGCTGATCTACTCATTTTCTTTTCAAGGTTGTTAAAAAGCCCAAACTGTAGCCCTATAGGCACAAACTCAAGTAGGACAAGAGGAATTCTTTAAGCACCTTATTTTCTATTTTAATAACCAAAAAAATCTACCAAAACCCAGAAAAATAAAGAGCCATTCATTCTACACTTCCATTTCACAGGTGGGTGTGCTTTCTTTTGGTGTGTCTTTTTCAACATCAGAGATTAACAGTTGCAAAGATGTTTGTAAAAGTGAGACCAAGGTTTGAGTTGGCAGCAGAGGTTGGATCTCTAACCCAGTAAGGTGCAGATGTTACTGGTGTCCTCACTTCCCATGTTCACAACAAATTGATATTTAAACAATCCAGCCTCAAGTCAGGAGCCTCAGAGCGGCTTTGGGGTTTTTTTTTCCCCTCTCTTGTATTTAACACAATCCCCTTGCTTTACTGTCTGAACTCTTCATTGTCTTTTATAGTAATTAAAAGAATGCATGTCCAGGATAAACAAGAAAGTTTCCTTTTTTGTGTGTCCTCAGTTAGAGATAAAAAAAATCATACCAGAGAGACAGAAGGAGAAACTATTGCCCAAGATCACAAAAGAAACAGCTACAAAGAATTAAACTCAATTCTCCTCACCTACTATGATTTGATTCTCTCTTAGGCTCATTATGTCATTTTCAAAAGTCTGTAAAATGTTAAAGTCAGGAAACAAGCAAAGGACTTCCTTTGGCATAAAAGTGCAGGGTCTAGAGTAGAGATTTGATTAAAGAATATAGAAATTTATTATTTTTGGCTAATCTCTTTATTGTTAACCTTTACTGTTTGAAGTCATAGCTGGGGATTCAGAAAATAGTACAACTGTGATGTGCTTAATTTGCCATTAACAGCTGTGGTGTCAGATCCACTGGGTTTTCAATCCTTTTAAAATCCAGGAACACAGAGTAACCAAACACCAAAACTGGGACTCAAACAAGTGGGATTTTAAGGTAAATCAGATTTAAGGTATCAGAGACTCTGTGAGTGATCAGTGAAAACAAGCAAGGCCATAGCTTGTGTTTTCAGAGATAATGGAAAATGCAAAATTATTTCACATGAGGAAATTTTGCATGAAGCCAGTAGGAAAAATGTTAAACAGGTTTCTGTGGAAGGCCACAATCAAGTTTTCACTCTGTCCATTCAACATCACACTAAGATGGCTCCTCAGGCTGCCACATAGCACCCTGAGGAAGGGTGTGATCCTCCAAACATCAAGCAGATGTCAAGCTCTTAATGGGTCCAGTTTTCTGATCCAGATACAACCACTAGGATTTGAGGAGGGACACATCCTCCTAAGGCAGGTGGTGACTTTTGGTGTGTCTCTTTATCCCCCTACACATGCAAAGAACGGACACAAAAAATGTATGGTAGTCATACTGAATGTGTACCTTGCATCAGCACAGATTCATTTTCATCTCTGCCCAAACAGCTGCTGAACCCTCTGATGTGAGGCCATCACACATCAAATTAGTGATAAGACTGATAATTAAAATTTCCTAGCACTTTGCAGTGAAAGACTTCATTTGTACCACTTCTCAAGGCTTTTCACTGCTCAGACTGACCCCCTTCTGCCTCAAACAGGTGCCTCATATCACAGGAGTGTCTGGGCTAACACAAAACCCTGGCCCAGCCCATCTTGCCAGGTACCAAAAGCAAACTTGGATCAAAATTCTCCTCTCATTACAGAAAAAACTCCAAATGTTTCTCTACAGCAGTCCTTACTCCCACACACCCTTTTCCTACTTACAGAGCACTGGTTGTCCATATCTCCAAACACCAATCTCCCAACATACAGGGGTGCAATGAGAGCTTTAGGGCTCAGAGTTGCTCTCACCACAGCTTTTCTTGCCCAAAACCTAGCAAGCCCCCTGCTTAGCAATTAAAGGTATTTATTAAGACCAGCTGTGCAATTGCACAGGTATTAGCAATCCCCTGAGCTTCTTGATCTTTGGGACAGGCCTTTTTGCAGGGCAATCATCTTTCCCCATCCTTTCAGGGTTTCCCCATGTTCTTAATGTCCATTTCAATTGAATTTTCTGTTATTTCCAGAGCTGGCTGTTCTGATGTTTCCTTTTGTTTAGAAGAGCAGTCCCCAACATCTCTACATCTTTAACATAAAGAAGTTTCCAGCTTCATTTAAAATGAAATCTTCAACTTTTTTGGTCCGTTCTTCACCATTTAGTTCCCCTAGTTATGCATGATTTTCTCTTTTGAAACTAGGATCACATACCCATGTTCCAGATCACATCAATTAAATCAACCTCACTTGTTCACTCAAGGGTTTTCTACAACCATCTCCTCTAAGTTGTTAATGTTTAGTCTCAGAAACAAAATTTTAAGTCGTATCAGTCCCTGCTTCAATGACTGTGGAGTTAAATAGATCTTCTGTTGTCAGTCCCATGGCGTATGATTGCTAATGGTTTTCAGTCTGGATGACTAAGAAAATTTCCTGTGACACAAATCTCTGGAGTATCTTACTCTCTAAAAGCATTCAGTAATTCTGTATTTGCATCCAAATTCAACTCCCCAGTCTGTCCCAGGAGGGCTTCCTTTGACATCTTTTCCTGGAATAATTCTGATGGAAACGAATCTATGTTATCCACATTACCGCTTTTTTTCTTAAAATCTTTAAAGTGTGTTTCTATTTCTCCAATACCTTTAAAATCATTATTCTGTCATTTCTATACAGCCCATTTCCAACATGATTGCTCCTGTCATGTAATACTCACTGATACTCTTCCACCTTAATGTAATTATGTAGTTGATGACAATATTCAGTTTCCTGCTCCAACAACACCTGCAATAAACACTTGCTTGGTGTGAACACCATATCTGTTCTCTCCTGACCATACTTTCTAGTCATATAAAAATAAATACTTTGATATTGCCCACTTAACTACAGTTGGCAGCAGTTTTACTCCATTTTCCCCTTCTCCTTGTATTATAAAAATAGCTGTAAGGACTGCACTACTTTTCCAAACAATTTTATTCATTTATTTATTTAGATTTCTTTTCACAAGCATTGTTTAGTGTGATCCCAGGAAGCTCTGTCTTCAGCAATATCCACCCTCACATGGGGGATGCCTCTTTGGATGGCTTTTGCTTCTAACCATACTCCTTGCACTGACTGCAGTGGTCTGGAGGAACTTTTCTGTCCTTCTTTTCAAAGTATTTTACCCAATTTCACCTAAACATAGTCCTTGTTGAATATCACTTTCACACAATTTTTTTTAATTCTCTTTGGGCATTGATGGTTCTTTTTAACAGGGAAAAATCCACTGTTGATCCTTCCTATGACCTTCAGAATCTTTTTCAGCCTCAACACCCTCTCCTAGTCCTTCCTTAGGGATGTGGTTCATGAGTCTCCCATTCACCACTGAAAACACGACCAATTTTTCCTTAGCCAGGGTTGTTTACACTCCTGGATGTACCCTTTGGGGGCAGGTGGGAATCTTTAAGGTCCTTTCCCTGCTGTTCTTCTTCCTGACTCTTGCCTCTCTTTTGGAGTGAGGTGCTTTCCTCCTCTTCTTTGCCACTACTGTTTCTTTTGCTACTTGTTAGTTGTTTTCTTCAGCCTCACCACAGCAATGCCTCCTCCTCTCAGCATTTAACTACCAAGAAGTGGGTTTCAACCACCAGCAAAAATATTTTTTTCACAGAACATAATTAAATTTGTGGAACTCATTGCTGGATCTTATAGATTAAAAACATAAAAAAGGTTAAAAGACATTGAAATAATTATGAAGGGCGGGCTTATCAGTGGCTGTTAAGAGATGATTCAAATGCAACCTCCACCTCACAAAAGTCCTCAATCCTTGACTGTAAGAAGCTGAGCGAGGTTTTCAAAGGGTCAGATATCTGTGGTTTCCCATGGTCTTTTCTCTTCTGGCCATTCTGGACCATCCTGTAAAATATTACACAAAGTTAAAACAGTTTCAAGCTATCTCCAGAATGTTCCTCTGAGCTGCTGAAAAAAGAAATGTGTTTCACAATGTCTGGGGTGGTTTCACAGCCAGCTCCTCATTCAAATCATAGAATCATGGAATGGTTTTGGTCCCCAAAGTTCATATGGGACTGCCCTTGATATTACATCTAGTAGATGTATTCCAAGAATTTGGCTTTTCACGTGTTTTTTTGTCACACACACACGCCCTCCTTTTTTATATATATATGCTAATTCTCCATTGGCACTTAAGCACAATGACCTTTCAAATGCAAGCTGTTGTGCAATAGCAGTAGAAATTTTATGCCAGTTTTTTTATATGTGTATCTATATATATGTAACTACTGAATAAGGGAAACAGGACTAATGCATTTGGAAATCATTGTGCAGATTGATCTTAAATCATTCTTTGTGGTATTTCAGCATTTGTGAAGAAAACATGAGGCTTAGCCAGCAATAATGCCTGCATGAAGCCATGTCTGCTATGTTTTCTTGCCAAGCAACCCAGTTTTAGCAGGTCAAGAATCAGTCCCCAATGCTTTTTGCTAGACTGAAAATCACAGGAGCACACTCAATAATTGGCCTCATCTTTTCAATGCACACCCTTTGTGTGACCAAAAAAGATCTTTCAATACATGAGCACTGCAAATTAGTATTTTTCAGTGCCTTCTTGGAGCTGATGCTGAAGTTATTTCTTGCATACAAAACAGATTAAAAAGAAAAACCACACTGCAGGAAGGGCTTTTCAACAAAAGCTAAGTTTATCTCATCAGCTGCGTAGCTCAGCAGGAGTCATTTGACAGAGCACAGCACGAGCTGGGGGATTTTATTTTGGGCTAGCTCTGCTCTGATCCTGTGAGCTGAACACCCGTGAGCAGCTGGAGAGCGTGAGGTGAAGCCCTGGGGTGCTGCAGAAAAGATGCAGCGTTTGCTGTGTGCTGCAAGGGTGCTGGACAATGCCAACCCCGCGCAGCGAGCACGGGACCACCGGGAGCTTCTTTTCAAAGGCACATTCCTGACCCAGGCTAACACTGTGGGAATGCCTCTGCCAACAGATGACTGCAGACAACAACAGCTACAGGAGGGTCCCAAGGACAGAACGTGGACACCAGCTCTGGTGTGATCCAGCCTCTCCATACCAGAGCTCAAATCTCTTTTTTGCTCATTTGACAGCCAAACACATTTAAAATGTGTTTTTCTAAGAATGTGCTGTAGAGGGATGATGACAGCTGCAAGCTGAGAGCTAAAGAATGTTTTGTGTTTAGCCAAACATTTCCTTTGTGCCTTAACATCTTCTATGTGTTTCTTATTCTCTCCTCTATAGCCTACCCCAAGCTGTCTCCTACACCAAAATTAGGTCCAATTAAGGCATTAATATCATCAGTTCAAAACTGCTGAAGCTATTATATGTGGGCAGTACTGACCAACAGGATTTCCTTTTTTTTTTCTGCCTCACACCAGACTGATACCAAGACAAGAGAAAGGCTTAAAATACTCACAGGAGAGGAAAAAAAAAATTCCATTAGTCGGAGATGCACTTTACAGTCACTGTCAGGATGGCATTTCCATTTGTGTATCAGAAATTCAGATTCTTTCTAAAAGAGGGAAATGATATGCAAACAATATTCTAATAGAAGACAAAGACTGGGATTTTGAGTGCACAGAAGAAAGATTTATTTCAGGTTATGGTTTCCACAGCAACTTTTCATTTTATCCCTCATGTGTCTATCTGTCTTATAAGGTCTTTCACAATATTTATATATAATGAAATGTTCTGTTGATGGGAAATTATTAAGAAATTAATTTCTCAGGGAAAAAACCCCTAACTTTTCCTGTGTGTATTCACATCTTCACACACACAGAGCAATGTACCTATGAATCAAGATGTTTGCATATAGGTGTACATTTTTATTTTTGCTATCTATAGCAGCATGAAATTGGCAGCCACTGTTGATTACACAAGAATGACAATGATGAAGGATGTGATACTAAGTGTGGCTGGTAGATATTCAGACCTGGAGGCAGGCAGAGCTCCTGAAGGTATCAGAGCTTTGCAGGCACTAACTTGCCTGATTAAGGAGGCAGCCCTTACAATACACTGACTGGTGGTGTTGGATTCCAATCGTCCTGATTTGCATATTTCAAGAGAGCTGCACAAAAAGATGAGCAGCCAGACCAGAGCTTTTCAGTAGTTGGCTTGCTTGTCTGTCTATTCCACACAACACTCCTCTCACACGAGATGGAGTGAGTTACAAGACATTCGTGTACTAAGCACGTTGTTCTGCAGCATGTGGCCACATGTTTTGTACAGAAGAAGGGGTTGTTGTCTTCAGAGATCATAAATCTAGCATAGAAACTATTTCAGGGGGCTGTCTGTGGTTTCTTTTTCAGATGTATACATGGAAATCTAAAATATAAGCACAGCTAGATAGGAGCATTATGATATGACAATATAAACACTGTTGGACTGTGGCAGAAGTGAGACAAAAATCAATCCCAAAAGCACTTAGCCTTGTTTGCTCAGCAGTACTTATTGACAGCTGAGAGAATAGAATGAGTGGAAATGAAATTTTCAGAGCTCAGTACACAGTGATGAGATTAAAGTCAGAAGACCTAGAGAGGGACCATGGGCATAAAAATGCCTTAATAATGTAGAATGTGATGTTTACAGCATCCTCTTTCCTATTATAGCTCTGCTGGTGACTAAGCCTTGCCTGGTGCATTGACCTTGGCTGGCTGCCACCTGACAGTGCCCAGCCAGACACTCTCTCACTCCCCCTCCTCAGCACAACAAGGGGAGAAAATATGATGGAAAAGTTCATGGGTCAAGATAAGAACAGGGAGATCACTGGTTAGTGTCATGGGCAAAGCAGACTTGACTCAGGGAAGTTAATTTCTTTTATTAGTAATTAACAACAGAGTAGGATAATGAGAAATAAAAAACAAAATTGAAACCACCTTTGCTCTCACTCCCTCTTCTTCACAGATTTACCTCATATTCCCCAGCCCCAGCAGTGCAATGGGGTTTGGGGGTCAGCTCATAGCTCTACACCTCCACCACTCCTTCACACACTTCCTCTGTTCCAGAAGTTCCTTACCATGGGATAGAGTTCTTCACAGCTGCTCCAGTGTGGGTCCTTTCCATGGGATGCAGTCCTTCAGAAACAGACTGCTCCAGTGTGATTTCTGCCAGAAAACCCATTCCTGCACGGATCCCTCTCCAGGGTCCCAGCTCCTGCCAGAAGTGTACTCCAGGATGGGATCTCCATGAGCTGCAGGTGGAAATCTGCTTCTCCCATGGGCTGCAGGGGCACAGCTGTCTCACCATGGGCTGCAGGGGAATACCAGCTTTTGTACCAGGAGCACCTCCTGTCCTCCTTCTCCACAGACCTTGGTGTCTGCAGGGCTGTTCCACTCACATTTTTATCACTGCTCTTCCTCATGGGTGCTGCAAAGTGTATTAAATATTCAGAAAAGTTTCTTCACTGAGAAGCTGGTCAGGCATTGTAACAGGTGCCCAAGGAAGTGGTGAAATCATCATCCCTGGATGTGTTCAAAAACATGTAAATGGGTCACAGAGGAGCACAGTTTAGTTGTGGCCACAGTGGTGCTGGGTTAATGGTTGGACTTGATGATCTCAGAAGTTATTTCCAACCTTAACAATTATATGATTCTGTTAGACACATGTCAGCCAAGAACAAATAAAATGCTACATGTTATGCATTTGGATTTGGTAAGTGAGCTTAGATTCACAGAATTATAAGAACAGAAGATGTTTATCATCAAGAGTGATTAATTTCCTATTATGCATTGGGGGGAAAAAATTAAGGAGACCTGGAGTAAGTATGTCTCTGTGGAGAAGTTAGTGAAAAGCACTAAAGAATTCCAAAACAAGTCACTATTTGAAACCCCTTGTTACACACATAAAAAAGGCAACAAAAGAATAAAGAATAAAATTGTACTTTATACCAAAAAGAGAAAGAAATAAAACTAGATAATAAAATACTTAGCAAACACAAAAATCAATAAACTGAGAAAACTAGTGCATTAAAACATTGGGGGGGAAAAAGAGAAAAGTAGGTACTTAATTAAAGAAGCATCATTAAGAGCACAAGTACTAACTATGGCAGGACAGAGAAGGGATAGAAAATGTAGAAAAAGTCCCACTTGGTTAAATTCCTGAGCTCTTCACTGCCTCCAGCACATGACAGGTGTATACAGACTGTGGACACAAAATCAAGGAGCTGACAAGTTATCATTAACAGCAAAGACTTCACAAAGGCAGAAAGAGCAGGTCACAAAGACATCACAGGTGTTACAGTTACTAGAGAACCAAGGAAAGCATTATTTTCTCATCACAGAGGAAAAGTTGTGACAAATTTGTGCCAGGAAGGTTAGACAAAACTTATAGCTGCAACTTCAAACTTAGGAAAATCGACCTCCTCACTGAACTGGCAAACCATTTGGACATCTGCTCCATTCCCAAAGTCTGTAGGAAAATTGTTTACCTTCTTCATTTCAATCCTGGTGTTGAAATTTGTGATTTTAAACAAATTTTCTTCATAATCTGAAGTCACATTCCAATTTATGAGGCTCTAAACATAATGCTTTGTCGCTATTTTTTTTCATATTCAGTGAAGAGAAAGAGGCATCACAACACCTGCTATTTCCAGAAGACAAATTGTTCATAGATTAATCAGAAAGCAGGCATCATCATTATTACAAAGAGTGTCCTATGAACAATGTGAGTGAAAATCCACACAATAAACAGGAGCATTTTCATCTATAATCACATCTGGTGCTAAAAAGCTCAAGTGACATTCGGTCAACTCTGCATTTGTCTAAATAGTCAATCTGAAACAGCAGTGTCATGCTCCCAGGCTTTTTAATTTTTTTTTTTCTTGTGACAATGTGCAAATAGTTCACTCCAATTCCCATCACTTTTTAGTAGCGCTCTCTCACAATGATTATTCAACAAACAGTCAGCATTTTCCAATATATTTTGGCAGTCTAAAATACCTGCCTTGATTAAATTTTCTTTCAGTGCAAATAAAAAGAGTATAGGGTCACCAAGAATGTACTCATGATTAATCAGGGGAAAAAAATCATTATAAATATTTAAAAAATTTGAGGTGCTTATTTTTGAGACCAAATTGTTATAAGACACCAAACACATTTTGAGTTTTTCTTTGGGTTACACCAAGCTGCCTATGCCATATAAAAGCAGCATGACAGAAAATACTGAAGTGATTTGTTTCTCATTCTCAAATACTCAACAGATCAGCTCAACAGCCCAAGAAGCATGGCACACATGGCTCTGGTCACAGCAGGCAGAGAGGAAGCCACCAAAGCCCACGCCAGGAGCTCCACATATGACAAAACCCTGCCCTTCACCAGTCATATCCAACAGTGAAAGTACCTATAAAAGCTTTATTGATGTTCCAGCCTTTCTTGCAACCACCCCCATAGCCACATTATTCTCTTTGGCCTGATAACTTTTATTAATCATACACAACAAGCCTAACAAGCATAAGGGCCAAATTTTATTCCAGGATAGCCCATGTCATTGCCAGAGCACCTTGTTTCAGCACTAAGTCTGCTCAGAATTTCTACATTAACAGAAGTGCTGACACATTGCAGGTGACAGGGCCAATTCCACCAAATACAAATTAAAAATGAAAATAAAGATATGAGTTTGAAAACCATAGTTGTCAGCCAGGACAAATTATCACAGATAGCTTCAGAGAGCTTTCTCCCCACACACCATCATCTCCCCGTCTAGGTTCTATGTTTCTGTCTCCATTAGATCTCACCCTTCAACATCTCACTTGAGGCAAAGGAATTAAGAAAAGGTCTTACATTACACCCTAATGATCACAGCACACATGCACTCTGATTCCCAGAAGCAGGCTGCTCCACAACCTAACTCTCTTAATTTTAACAGCCCTGTCATCCTTGGGTGTGGCTGCAATAATCCAGCTTCTGAAAAAGGCACAGATTGCTGTAGCTGTCCATAAAAACAATCCATGCTCACTCACCACACTGAGAAACACCAGCCCAGGAACTCAGGTTTAGACCTGACTGGGCAGTTCCTTAAGCAACAAGAGGTCTTCCCTCTATTTCAAGAAGCTTCAAGTCACAAATGACGCCTTGGCAGCACCTTGGACTGAGGCACTGCTGTGGATTTCGCTAGAGCTGCTAAACACTTCTCCTATCTAGCATCATTTCAAACCTATTTGCACTACTTCCAAGCTGTCACTTATTTCTCCCAGAGGTTTCACACATGAAAAGAGCCTCTCCCTTCCTAGAGAAGGCATGATGGTGCTGCACCAACCCATCACTGACATTCAACACCACAGGAAAGGATTCACTTGTTCACCAAGCCTGGTCTCTGTAGCCCCTTTTCCTTGAGGCAGAGAGTCATTCTTCATGTCTTTCTGACTAAAATGAAAGGCTGGAGTGACGTCAGCAGACATCCGTGTCTATTTAGAAGTGATAAAGTGCAGTTCAAAGGCACTGGGAGATGCTCATGCCTAAGAACGCCTATGGAACAGAGATGACCCTGCAGGAACAAGCAGGAAAAGGCTCTTCAAAACACACATTTCAGTTTACTTACTGCTGCATTAGTGTTTGGAAGCTCTGACAGACCTGACCAATGAAAACTGAAATTAACAACCAGGCTGTGGAGGTTTTTTATCCTGGGGACATGAAGATGAAAAGAAATAAATGGTGGTGTTAGGGTTGTCTTTTCTTCCTTTGTTTTAAACAAGCACACCACTTGCCCTTTATACAACTTAACACTTCTGTTCTCAGTAAAGCCATGATGTGATCTCAGCTTCTCAGAAACTGGTCAAAAAACATTTACCCAAATAATCACAAAAATCCTTCAGGCAAATATTTGCATATTTACGTTAAAGAGTGTCCAAAATTGCCCATTGCTGTTTCTTATTTCCATATCGAGTATATCAAATTGGCTTTATTTTCCAGCAATCATCAATGCAAACAGAAAAATTAAGTGAAAAAGAAATCTATTAAAAATGCAAATGTGTCAAATAGAAGATCATCATCTGTCATTGCAACCAGAAAACAAAACAAAACAACCAAAAAAACCCTAAAACTCTCTTATTTCTGCATTTCTGTTAGATGTATTGCTTTCACCTTCTGTGTTTTGAGGTCTCCCATGTCACTTTCTAGTTTCCAACACAGAACTTTAAAGAGAATCCACTTGTCAAAATGGAAAGAAAAGTGCTACGTTTTCACCAGCAGTCTTTTACTCTGGCGCAGAAATATGTCTATTATTGTTTTGAGGAAAATCAGTCCATGAACCAGAGTTTACTTTCTAACAAAGTTGAGTTATTTCCCTAATTCAATCTTTAAAATTTCCAACTTTCTCTAGAGCTGTACTGATATTTAGAGAAAGAGAAAAAAACTTACTAACACAGTCCTTTCTACCCCACCATCTTCAGGTCAGGAAAGACAAAGAATTTTGGGGTTAAGGTCTGAGGCTTAAGAGTTCAAGTACAAGTTTGAGTAGCTGAGTATCATTAGTAGCTGAGCTAACTACTTGTGCCTACACTCTTATAAGCATACATAAATAGATCTTGGGCTGTAATTCATATAGATTCTCTCTGGAATGTCAGGAGGCTTGACTGCTGCTCTTGTTGCACGTGAAGGTGGGAAATTCCAGGCTCTAGTCTGCAACAAGAAGAAAAACACGTACCATTGTACTACATTGTAGAATTCTGTGGGGCTGTCATTCCTATAGATTCCAAACTAAAAGCAAAGAGCAGAAGAGACCTGGTGGGTAACATTACTGTTGCAAAAGAAATGTGATTTCTCTGAGCAAAAGGGTACAGCACAGAGGTTGAAACATGAACTGGCAGACAAATGCAAGAACAGCCTTCACAAGCCTCAACAGGACAGCCTCTGAAATGTTTTTGTTAATATTGTTTTTTTCTTAATATTGTCATTTCAAAAACAAATTTTGAAATGTTGGTATCTACAGCAAAATAGATGAAAATGAACAATGCTAGCTTCTCTGAAAGCAAAACAGACAGACCACAAACAATCCAATTTAGGCACCTAAAATTACTGGAAGCCTGTGATCTCTGAAACTCCCCCTCTCATCAATGAAATTGTCCTGAATGCCACACAAGAGCATATCAGGAAATGAATCATTCTAACTTGAGAGCACTCTGACTGGTTTGCAACAAACAAGGCACACGACCATTAATTAAATCATGAACAGAAAACAAAATAGGAAATAATTCGTCTTTCCATGTGCATTAAGTGAGGCAGAAGCCCTGAGGAAAAGCAGTACATTTTCATTTTGTTAAATATATATCACAATACATTGGAATTAGAGAGTGAGTAAAAGTTGTGGTGGCAGATTTATCCCTGGTGTTTCCTGGCTTACAAGTATATGAAGTGCCACATAAAAATAAAAGTTTCATAGCTGTGTTTGTCTCCAATACAGCAAAACAAAGTGGACCTTTTTCCCCTCATTGTAAAAGGCATATCTAGTTCCATCCAATCTTTAATCAGACAGACTTCTGCCATTAAGAATACACATTCTTAAATAAAATATCTGAGTAAAGACTACTCTGTGAAGCAGAAATATGAAAATATTACATTTTTGGAGAGTTAAAATTCAGCATTGTGAATGTGACTCATTAACAAGAAATGCACCACACCACTCTCTATCCAGTGCTTAAACAATTGCTCAGATACTCTGATTATACATGAAGATAGGGCCACCCAAACAACACACATTCTCACAGATGATGTGTTCCTCATTCCCCTGTCCAAGTGCTCACAGGGGGGTATATGGGAAGTTAGTCAGAGCAGACACATTGAAAATAAATTGCAAGTTTTAGTGAAGAATACACCAAAACCTGCAAAGCACACACGCACAAAGCCACTTACTGAGTGTTCTGCTGGGCCCTGTGCCCTTTTACGTAACCAGCAAGCTGAAAGGAGGATGTCAGGAAGTTAGAGTGGTTTGAATATGCAGGGTACACAGCTGTTATAGCTGGGGTTCTCCTCTAGCTGCCCCCAGATCTTGAAAGATTTTCTTCAAAATACAGTTACCCTCATATGTTCTTATTTTTTTACATCCTGCTCTTTAATACGTTCTTGTTTTATTTTTCCCTTCATGGAAACTTCTGGTCATGCTGGGTGTCCTGGTTTCTACTGGGGTAGAGTTGATTTTCTTCTTAGTAGCCGTGTTTTGCATTTAGTATGAGAAATTAAACAAATCAGCTATCTAATATGCCCAATGCACAATTATCTGAAAGATATCAAAGTATGTAGTTTGGCTTATTCTTACACTTGCTCAAGGGAAAATTTATCACTGCTCATGGAAAGAGATCATTAGTTTATGAACTATCATTCTTTAGTATAGAATTTTGTGCCAGTAAATGCAGAACAAACAAAATAATTCTAAAAACTCAAAGCTGCCCTATTCTCAGAAAGAACCCTTTTCATCCTGAATGAATCCCTGACAAGTCTGTAATGCATTAGCACCACAATACTTGTGGCTCTTTCAAAACTCCAGACTTATTTTAAATTGCTACCCCTTATTTCATTTCGACTTCTCCAAAAGGACTGTGCATATATGAACATTTTCCTCAACCCTTGCCTCCCACCTCAGTCTCAGCAATAAAGTGCATGTCCTTGTACCTGCACATAGTCAGCAATGGGATTGTAATATATTTCAGATTCAAAGGACTCACCTCTGCACCCGAAAATCAAGCATAAAGTCACACCAGTGACAGCAAGGACACCTGCAACTGCTCCTGCCAGGATGTAGAGAAGCCTATGGGAGCTGTCTGAGCAATGAGAAAAGAGAGCAAGTTACAGTGCAAGATGTCAGTATCCATGAATTTGTGACATAACTGCCTACCTTATCTGGAAGAAAAAGCTAATCCTCTGCTTCCAAACAAAGCAGAGAGAAACAGATGAGATGTCTGGATGCCCATCAGCAATAAGAAGCTGCCTCACTCTCCCAGTCATTTGTGTGCACAAACACATTTTCATTTTCAACTCATCTGCCTTTACATTCTCATTTTCTTCAAGTACTCCTATCCCTGAACAACTGAGCAGCCATCCCTGCAAAATGCTCTTATTAATGAGTGGTTTATGCTGATTTCTGTTCTTCATGCCTCTACTAGTAGAGATACTTTGGTGGTATGAGCGCTCCTTAAGCTGTTCTTACAAATCCTACTGTGATAGACTTCCAACAGGTCCAGCACAGCCAGAGAAGCTGAATTTTAGCCTTTACTACCTTTGGAACACTTGCAAGTCACAGACAGGCATGCTCCAAGGAAATTTTCTCCAGACCATCACTACTGTGGAAAAGCTGGACAAAATGTTGTGGGGAAGGTGCTTTTAGATTCTTTCTTGTTTCTCGCTATCCTCCTCTGATTTGAGTGGCAAGAAATTACTTTCTCTCAAGTGTCTTTTGTCTGTGACAGTAATTGGTGAATGATCTCTCCCTGTCTTCACCTTGACCCACGAGCTGGCCATTGCATTTTTCTCCCTGTCTTGTTGAAGAGGAGGGAGCAATAGAGCTGCTTGGAGAGCACCTGGCAGCCAGCCAAGGTGAACCCACTGGAAGCAGAATAAGGAATTCTTGTAAAACAGGACAGGAATTGAAAGAAAAATACACTGAAAGCTTCTCCATACAGTGTCACAAAGCATTTGTTTTCAAAATCATTACTTTATCTCTCAACATGCACTAAGACTTCACCTTATAACCAAGCTAACCTAGTTCCAGAGCCCTGGCATTTAGTGGGAAGAGCTGCACAGAACAGCAGAGAGGAGCCCAAGACATGATGAAAGCAACCACAAAATAACATTATTTACATCTCAGGTCCATGACCACAGTCTGGTTCATGGCTGCGTGGGTGACCAGGCAGGTGACAGAGGGAAATGAGCTGTTGGTCCAGCCAAAGTAGCTCACTCTGGTCACTGTTCCATTGGGGTGATGGAATTCTTCCTCGGAGCTGTGATTGCTTGCAGGGATCCAGGAGATGTCAGCAGCTGGCTTTCCTGCAGATGCCCGGCACACAGCCACCCTGCTCTTGTCATGGGTCAGAGTCACCGTAGGAGGGACTGCAGAAGAAATTTTAAAAGGCCACAACCATTATTTCTATTCATATTTGATATTTCTATTTCATTTTTTTAGTATAAAATCACCAACTAAGAAACTGACAAACAGGTGGGTTTTTTTAGACTGTATGACCAATTCGTGAGATTTTAAAATAATTTGAAATATTAGCACATCTTAAAGGGAAAACAATACATCAAAAAGTCCAAGGTGGACACCTCAAAAACTAGCTGGCTGCATCTAAAGTACTGCTTCCTCCTGTTTGCCAAAAGGTGATGACAGATTAGCAGGAGATGGGATGACAGAGAGGGGTGGATTCAATAAAGGTTTACAACTTGACTGATGAAAAGGCAGATTGCTGAAGCTTCAGGTACAATATTTAGGAGTTTGGATATGTAGAATCAAAAATCAGGTAGCAGGGAAATAAAAGAGGAATTGGGCAAAACTGTTCTGCTTGAAGTCCAACAACTCGTATTCTGCATTTGGCAAAAAAGGGAAAGGCTTACACAACACCTAAACCTTTATCAGAAAGGCACAATTATGCAGGGAAGAACAAAAAATACTCCAAAACCCAAATCCAAAACAAACTAATGAAAAAAAATAGCAATTACAGAGTTGCAAAATTAGTTTCTTTTTTGTTATATTGAGATGGCTTAACTAATATAGCCAGAACAAAAAATCTTCCCATTTTTTATGGAAACCTAGATATAATTTACCTGACTATATGAAAAAGGTGATTTGATGTATTCATTATGCTTCCTAATACTCTTTTGTTCCTGCCTATGTTGCAAATAGACTGAGTTAATTTTTAATGATGCAGTCTTACCTATCACAGTCAGAGAAGAGAAAAAATCAAAATTCCCTTCCCTGTTGGCAAATTCACAGGTGTAAATTCCCTCATCCCCGAGGTTCACAGGGTAAATACGAAGTGCAGGGTTACTGACAGGTGAATATTTCCACGTGATCCTCTCACTGCAGTTCAGCCTGCTTGTCTTATCGTGATCCCTTCTATAGGACAAGCAGCAGCAACTTCTGCAATTCCTCTTCCATGTCACCAGCAGCAAAGGCACCTTGGACATGTTGGGGCAATCCAGCACAGCTTCGTGGCCAGCCTGTACCCTCACCATGTTGTGAGCTGCATAAGATGGAAAAAAAGACATTAAAAAGGTGCTACAGCCCAGCAGCAAAGGCACCTTGGACATGTTGGGGCAATCCAGCACAGCTTCGTGGCCAGCGTGTACACTCACCATGTTGTGAGCTGCATAAGATGAAAAAAGACATTAAAAAGGTGCTACAGCTATTGTAAAAGCACAGGAAACTCTTGGCTTCATCACTCTTAAAAATACAGCTTCCTGACTGTACTGGCAGCCTTGGGGGACATATTAGTATTCAACTTTCAGATCCACCTTCCTGAAGTTTGAAAGTGCAGTGGAGATGGTGCCTTTTTGCTGTGGGCAGTGATGCTGACAAGCTGCAAGTCCCCCACCTTTACTTTAGGCAACAAATTTCTGTCTCTTTAATATAGGCTTTGAAAAATTGATGGGGAGGGCAAAATTCACTCTCTTAAGGGAAAGGAAGCTACTTTTAAAAATTCATAGTTTTCCTGAAGTAGGTGCCTTGCTTCAAGTGCCAGTAAAACCCGGGATAGCTGTGGAACACACATGTGTGGCACAGTAAAACCAACATCACCTGGAGCAGAAGTTTAGTAAGAGACATATGTGGATCCCTTTTATTCCAGAAATCACAGCTCTCCTGCCACTGTCCCAGCTGAACAGGTCTGTCTTTGGATGACCAGTTTTGGATTCCTGTCAGATTTATCTGCCGCTGCAAGGCACTCAATTATTTTGCCAGCTGAGATGACATGACTCTTTCCATTCCCACAAAACAATAGGCAAAATTTGCTCTGGTGTACTATGAAGTTTCAATCTCCTGGCAAGTTGGAAATACAGAGTACCAAATAGTGCTACATGCAGTTTTGGATCTTTCTCACTTACCTTCAACCAGATTGATTGGCAAGAAAAGGAACACAGCCTTTTATTCCAGAAATCACAGCTCTCCTGCCACTGTCCCAGATGAACAGGTCTGTCTTTGGATGACCAGTTTTGGATTCCTGTCAGATTTATCTGCCGCTGCAAGGCACTCAATTATTTTGCCAGCTGAGATGACATGACTCTTTCCATTCCCACAAAACAATAGGCAAAATTTGCTCTGGTGTACTATGAAGTTTCAATCTCCTGGCAAGTTGGAAATACAGAGTACCAAATAGTGCTACATGCAGTTTTGGATCTTTCTCACTTACCTTCAACCAGATTGATTGGCAAGAAAAGGAGCACAGCCAGAACTGCCCATTTCTGAGCCATCTTTAACAGCAGGAATCAGCACTGCAGAAGGCAAAGAAAATGGCAAGTAGTCACAAATGGTTGCGCTCATCCCTCCAAAGAGAACATGTAGTAAAACCCCTGTTTCCTTTGAAAGCAGGAGTTCTAAACAAGACCCCATGTCAAGTGCCACTCTCACAGTGAATAAAGTAAAGCAAAAATAAAGACCAAAAAACCAAACCAAAAAAAAAGCCAAACAAACTACTGTTTACAAACAATTTTTAAAAATCCTGGATGTTTGACCCCACTCAGAATCTAGACTTCATCAACTATTTTGCAAAGAAATTATTCCTAGCCTTTGCATGCTTTTAATTTCTTGAAGAGTACCTGCCCTTTTGGAGCAGAACAAAAAGAGCAGCCCTCCTGTTGCAAGGGATCAAAACCACATGAATTTGTTTCCTGCCTTCATAGACAGGGTGAACTAAAGAGGCATCTAACAAGTCCTGGATCCTACAACTATCTAAACCTTTTAACAGACCATGTCTTATAAATGCTGCCAACTCTATCTCTTTAATAATTTACTTTCTGAATCAGGCACCCACAGCTAGAGATGATTGGAAAACCGTGCTCCCATCCCATGGGAAATACTGACACGATGATGTTTTCATTCCCAAGTCAAAGATTTTATTTTAAATGTGAAACAAACCACAAGAGGACGCCTGGTGTGGAGGAGAAGCCACAATACTGCCACACAATACTGCCACGTGTGGCACAGGAAGAACAAACGCTGCCACAGGCATGAGCCAAATGCAAGAGATGGTGTTCTCCTTAACACAGCGTGATACAAGTGCATGTTCAAGTCACTGAATCACAGAATGGTTTGGGTTGGAAGGGACATTAAAAATCTCCCAGTTCCACCCCCCTGCCATGGGCACTCTCACCAGACCAGGTTGCTCAGAGCCCCATCCAACCTGTCCCTGAACACTTCCAGGGATGGGGCATCCACAACTTTTCTGTTCCAGCGCCTCACTGCCCACAACAAAATTGTTTTCCTCAAATAATTGCTTTGCTCACAACTCTAACAAAGAATTGTGATGCATCTGGATGAAACCTTCCATTACCACCTGGTAAAAATGCCAATACAACCACATTGATCAATATTCTGCTACTAATGTGTAACAAGCAATGTGATTCTTACATTAAAAACATCTCAAATTTCACTTGCATTCACATTAAATCTTTTGCCTTAAAAGAAATATTTTGTTTTATTTTATTCAGCGCTGTCAAAAGGTTTGGGATTTTTTTTTCTTCGCAATTTGGATAGAGGTAAAAATGCCAATACAACCACATTGATCGATATTCTGCTACTAATGTTTAACAAGCAATGTAATTCTTACATTAAAAATATCTCAAATTTCTCTTGAATTCACATAAAATCCTTTGCCTTAAAGGAAATATTTTGTTTTGTTTTATTTTATTCAGCGCTGTCAAAAGGTTTGGGATTTTTTTTCTTTGCAATTTGAATAGGTTATGCATGCAAAAGTTGCTTTCAATCAAAACAGTTTGAATCTTTAAAAACTGATTTTTTTTTTACCAAAGAAAATTAAAATATACATTTTTGACCAAACTTATGCACTGAACTTGACCCAATTTGCAAAGAATTTCTCAGTCTCTTTCAAAAGGAAAGTAAAAGAACAAATTCAGCGCTGTCAAAAGGTTTGGGATTTTTTTTCTTTGCAATTTGAATAGGTTATGCATGCAAAAGTTGCTTTCAATCAAAACAGTTTGAATCTTTAAAAACTGATTTTTTTTTTACCAAAGAAAATTAAAATATACATTTTTGACCAAACTTATGTACTGAACTTGACCCAATTTGCAAAGAATTTCTCAGTCTCTTTCAAAAGGAAAGTAAAAGAACAACAAACCTTCCATAATTTCTATCAGCAAATTCAGTATTCACCAATTTTGATGGGTCCATAAATATTCATAACAGAATATTGTCATATTGGAACTGGTCCCAGAGAAGTATCTTTTTTTTTTAATGCATTCAAATTTCATATATGCGGTTTATTTGCTCAAAAGAACAGGCATTAATGATTAAAAATGGGACCTTACAGAAAGAAGAGAGTATATGACTGTTTAAATATTCATGTGTGAAATGCAGAATTTAATCTGCAATTTTTAAAATTCACAGCCCTTGAACAGTTGTGCCTCTGAGCGAGAAGGAACTCTCAAAATCCATAAAGGAACAACCAAGCAGGGATGAATCAAACCCATTTAAAAGTAGCAAACGAATACTCCGTGGCTCGCCCTGTGTTATTGCCTTTGATGGAATTAAAATGCCTCAACAGCTGCATTAAAATAAATTAAATTTTTTACTCAGCCTTGGTAGCGGTTGTTGGCACAAGACCGCGCGATACGTGTGCCACTCTTCCCTCTCGGATTCATCCCAAGGAGAGCTGAGGCTGGGGGAGATCCACTCACTTTGCAGGCTCAAGAGGAGCCTTCCTCACCCCAGAGCCTGGCAGGGGAGCAGTTCCAGTGTGCTCTGGTCTTCTGATTCTCCTTTTGGGGTGAGCAGGGAGACTTCAGCACCAGCAGCCGCTCCCACGGGGATCCCAGTCCTGAGGGCTGATTCCGAGACAGCTCCTGCACACCAGAGAACTGCAGGGATATACCTGGAGCTCCCCTCCCTCTCTGTCCTCACCAAGGGCCCAGATACAACTGCGAAGTGGGAACTATCCCAGTTCAGGAGATTCCATCCCTGCGTTCGGCTGTATGGTTAATTAGGTTTTTTTTGCTGTTGCTTCTGAGACCCTAACATGCAGCTGATTTTTCTTACAGACAGATAAAGTCTCCTCCCTCTTCCCCCCATGAAAGAGATGAGTCAAAAGAACCCTGTGGTGGTACACTGCCCCGAAGAGGATGTGGCGGAGTTAAATTGAGAGAAACAAACTGCTTTGCGACATGATGAACAAGTCACAACCTCAGCTGTCTGTTGTTACACATCACACACCAGCCACAAGCCTTAAGCGATGCAAAGCACCAACCTAAAATCAGGCAATGTCCCACACACCAGCCACAAGCCTTGAGCTACGCAAAGCACCAGCCTAAAATCAGGCAATGTCAAACATGATTTATATATTTGCTAACACAACCTGAAAAAGGAAAAGGTCAGGTATCCATCAGTGCATCAGTTGTCACCACAACTTTTTAAAGGATTACCAGTATGTCACAGAGCCATTCCCATATTTAAACTCAGCAAAATAGGGTTCTGTTTTGAAGTGAAAGCACATTGTAAAGGTTACAAAAGACCTTGCCTTAGAAGGGTCTCTGTTCTCTGTAAGTTGTGTGTCTTTGGGCAAGGAAGGGCTGGAAGGGATGGCAAGAAGAGAAAGCAGTGGCACACATCTGGATCAACTCTCTTATAAGGCTAAGGTAACTGCTCTGCAAATCAAGGCTACGTTGTTTAAAATCCAAACCCACAATTTTGGCAGTCAGAGCAGCAGCAGCATCTTCTATGCAGTATTTGATGTTTCTACCTCATCACCAAGACCACACAGCACCCAACTCAAAAGCCTGCAGCTTTTCTGCGGTGAGAGATGCTGGTTATGCTGTGTTTTCAACATCCACAGGTCAGGCTCTTCTGATCCTGTTTCTCCCTACCAATGGTCTTCTGTGGGACTTCCTCAAATCCCTCCACTGAAAATGAAGCAACAAAATATAGCAAGACTTTGGATGCCCTGTGTGGAAGACAAAACATATCAAAAGAGCCAGCAGGTAGATACTTCCAAAGCTGAAACTGAAAAGCTCTGGAGGGAGAGGAGAGGCTGTGTTTCCACAGGTCAGGCTCTTCTGATCCTGTTTCTCCCTACCAATGGTCTTCTGTGGGACTTCCTCAAATCCCTCCACTGAAAATGAAGCAACAAAATATAGCAAGACTTTGGATGCCCTGTGTGGAAGACAAAACATATCAAAAGAGCCAGCAGGTAGATACTTCCAAAGCTGAAACTGGAAAGCTCTGGAGGGAGAGGAGAGCTTTCTCTGTTCTTAGCCATCTTCCTTAGCCATCTATTGCTGGCCCCTGACAATGCTGCTGGGTAGTGCACCTCTGCCTTGACTTCAGAGCCTCCTGGTTTTTCTATTCTCTTAAAGATATCCTGACCCTGAAAACTGACCTCTGAATTCCTGTACTAGCACGTCTCTTAAAGATATCCTGACCCTGAAAACTTGCAGCCCAACAAAAACTGACCTCTGAATTCCTGTATTAGCACAGCAGAAGACTGTTAGCTCTGTCAGGGACTGAGGATCAGAACCTCCATGGTGCATTTTCTTCCCAGACTCCCTGTTTGTCTCACAGTTGCTGGCATCAGTTGAAGATAGAGATTATTTGAAATTTAGTCCATCCAGTCTGTGAGCTAGTTTCATTCAGTTCCAAACTACAAAGCTTTCTCTGCAAAATGGAGAAATAGAGGGTGGATGGCTTTCTGAAAGAGAGAATTAGCCTGATAGAATGAACTCTCAAAACAATCACAAGCAAGTTATACAAAACAACTGTAAAATTACAGTGTTTAGGTAAATATACCTAAAGGTAAATAGTTTTGAAATTTCCTCCACAGCAAGACAGAGATTTGTGCCATCTATTGATTTCATCAAGATAGCAGTATTTAGAGTAATACCAACATTACAAAGTATGGATTTTTCCCCAGGGGAAAAAAGTTTGTCATACATAGTAGCTGTAATTCCAGAAAGCAGTTGGGCATCTCCCCTTTTCTCATATATATTTACCTCTTTATCACTAGTTCATCTGGAAAACAGCTTAGTCCCATGAAGTTATTGCACAAGCCAAGGCATATTCCTCACACCTATAGCTGCCTTGCAGCCAGTCCCTCAGGGAGTAATCCAGTGTTGGGAAGGGGCAGAAAGAGCAAAGAAAGAATGAAAACACCACTCCTGGTAGCTCATTCTCTTCCTTTCAGAAAGAGAAGACATTTGCTTTACATTTTCCATTTTATGCAGAAAAAAACCCCAGTTCTTGTACCTAACACCTTGACTTTCCCAGGTATAAACCATCTGTGGCTCTCACCAGTGTCAGCCAACAGATGGGGGAAAGCCCTGCTGATAATGAAGCCTGTAAAACCTGACACTTCCATGTTAAAATATCCAGAGGCAATTATATCACAATTTGCAGAGATCAAGGACATGTATCTCTTTTTTAACTGTAGCTGATTGCACTGGGCCAGCAGGGCCATGCTCAGCAACTTCTACTCCTGGCCCCAGAGAATCCCCTTATCACTTGTAGGTCACTAACCTCAGGAGCTTCTCGCTCAATCCCAGCACTGCAGCAGACAAATCTACCTACCACACATATGTTCATGGTCTTACCTGCTTTAACTCCTGCCCCTTGTGGACCTACTGCTTTTTGCTGCTGATTTTCCAGACAAAAAAAACCTGGGAATTAGCAATCCACAAGTGTAATTACTGCTTTCAGGGCTGTGGATAGCCAGAGGAGAAGTCTTCTGTACAAGTATACAGAGATGAACAGAGAGAAGATGGATTACAGCTTGGTGTTTAACTCCTTTAGTAATCATCAGGATGTATCTCAGATTCCCCAATGAAGGTTTCCTCCCCATCTTTCAGTCAGAGAATCTGGCCTCCCACTCCACAGCCAAACATGATGGAATTGCACCACACATCCCAAACTGCACATAAAGAAGCTACAAACCTCAAGAAATTCCTGCTTTAAAAAGAACAGAAATAGCAGAAGACCTGGTGTGCAACAGAAATAAAACCCCAGGTAGTCCTTCCTCACCTGTCAGTCTGTCCTACCTGGCAACACTAACCACAGTTTAGGCAGTGCTAAGCAGGGACTTACCTGACCTCCTCTCTCCTTCAGCTCTTCACTGCTCCTTCCCCTTCACACTTCAGGGAACATCATTTTCTCTGAAATCTACAGCTTCCCCATTCCATGGACAGCCGTGAGATCCTGCACGAAGACCCAGGAACACCCATCAGCTGGGACATGGCTTCTCCAGCCTCAAGGAGCTGCATTCCCTGCCCTCACTGGAGTCACCACATAGAAGAAGATGTGTATTTTACTTATTTATATATTTAGGGAAGGGGACAAAATTGTCCCCTGTGTTTATAGAGCAGCTAGATCAACACTTAGAAATATGAAATACATGTTGCTTTTGTATGGCAAAGGAAGAATAGTTCTTACATTAAAAACATCTCAAATTTCACTTGCATTCACATTAAATCTTTTGCCTTAAAAGAAATATTTTGTTTTATTTTATTCAGCGCTGTCAAAAGGTTTGGGATTTTTTTTTCTTCGCAATTTGGATAGATTATGCATGCAAAAGTTGCTTTCAATCAAAACAGTTTGAATCTTTAAAAACTGATTTTTTTTTTACCAAAGAAAATTAAAATATACATTTTTGACCAAACTTATGCACTGAACTTGACCCAATTTGCAAAGAATTTCTCAGTCTCTTCCAAAAGGAAAGTAAAAGAAAGAACAGCAAACCTTCCATAATTTCTATCAGCAAATTCAGTATTCACCAATTTTGATGGGTCCATAAATATTCATAACAGAATATTGTCATATTGGAACTGGTCCCAGAGAAGTATCTTTTTTTTTTAATGCATTCAAATTTCATATATGCGGTTTATTTGCTCAAAAGAACAGGCATTAATGATTAAAAATGGGACCTTACAGAAAGAAGAGAGTATATGACTGTTTAAATATTCATGTGTGAAATGCAGAATTTAATCTGCAATTTTTAAAATTCACAGCCCTTGAACAGTTGTGCCTCTGAGCGAGAAGGAACTCTCAAAATCCATAAAGGAACAACCAAGCAGGGATGAATCAAACCCATTTAAAAGTAGCAAACGAATACTCCGTGGCTCGCCCTGTGTTATTGCCTTTGATGGAATTAAAATGCCTCAACAGCTGCATTAAAATAAATTAAATTTTTTACTCAGCCTTGGTAGCGGTTGTTGGCACAAGACCGCGCGATACGTGTGCCACTCTTCCCTCTCGGATTCATCCCAAGGAGAGCTGAGGCTGGGGGAGATCCACTCACTTTGCAGGCTCAAGAGGAGCCTTCCTCACCCCAGAGCCTGGCAGGGGAGCAGTTCCAGTGTGCTCTGGTCTTCTGATTCTCCTTTTGGGGTGAGCAGGGAGACTTCAGCACCAGCAGCCGCTCCCAGGGGGATCCCAGTCCTGAGGGCTGATTCCGAGGCAGCTCCTGCACGCCAGAGAACTGCAGGGATGTGCCTGGAGCTCCCCTCCCTCTCTGTCCTCACCAAGGGCCCAGATACAACTGCGAAGTGGGAACTATCCCAGTTCAGGAGATTCCATCCCTGCGTTCGGCTGTATGGTTAATTAGGTTTTTTTTGCTGTTGCTTCTGAGACCCTAACATGCAGCTGATTTTTCTTACAGACAGATAAAGTCTCCTCCCTCTTCCCCCCATGAAAGAGATGAGTCAAAAGAACCCTGTGGTGGTACACTGCCCCGAAGAGGATGTGGCGGAGTTAAATTGAGAGAAACAAACTGCTTTGCGACATGATGAACAAGTCACAACCTCAGCTGTCTGTTGTTACACATCACACACCAGCCACAAGCCTTGAGCTACGCAAAGCACCAGCCTAAAATCAGGCAATGTCAAACATGATTTATATATTTGCTAACACAACCTGAAAAAGGAAAAGGTCAGGTATCCATCA